ATAACTCAATGGATATGCGTAGGTCGGTGCCACGAGGAAATATGCATTACTGTGACGTAGAAAGTAGAGTCATAGTAGAGTCGTAGATTACAATACCGTAAAACATGGCAACTTTGCCCGCTTTTTTGACGTCAGGCCAAATTATTTTAGAAGAATTCATTTAACCCTTACAAGCTTATAACTATTCTAAGATAGTTAAAATGATTTTTTTTATTTATGTCTATTTATTTTGGTCTAATTTAATTAAAAGCGTATAAATAGAACCATATTTATGTATATTTCCACGTTTTTGAGAAGGGGACATTAAGGTGACTCTAGTCGACATTATTTCCATAGAAATTTCGGAGGGGTTTTACTCCGCTGTTTGACAGTGTACATCCAAAGTTAAACATGATATCGTTTTGTCTCATTATTAATTTTGTCTGTACCGAAACAGAATAGTAAAATAAAAAGTCAGTAAAAAGTTACGAGCTACCAAAGATTCGTTTTTATTGCCAATTTTAACACAACTTTGGGCGTAAATTAGTAATAAAAGCAGTGTAAAATTTCCAAAACAAAGTCGGTACCGACACAGCTCAATTATCGAAGAATTCAATAAATTTTATTGGTAATTGATTCATGCAGTGGGTTTTTCATAAAACCCCTCCTTCCAAAGGCCTTTTCGTATTTTTTTACGCGCGCGTGTTTATATGAATTATCGTGCATCTCACTGAATAATTTTTCCCTCGGTGCGGTGCGGGAGGACGACACTTACACACACATGCATGCGCGGTGACACGCGCTTATTCTAGTTTTATTCGACGTCATTGTCAGCTGCGGCCTGTGACGTTCGTATGATTATAGCTATACCTGCGCTCTAAATTACTACGCTACATTGACCCCTGCTTGAACTTTGTATTAAATCAGATTGATATAAGCACCGACAAAAATAGAGGAATATATAAATAAAATTTTGAAAAAAAAAAACGATCTCAAAATTTTATTAATGTTCCGCTAATTTTATCTGTACTTACCTATGCCAATTTGATTTACATTCGATTATAATTATATTCTCAGACGTGCAGGTTTCCTCAATATGTTTTCCTTCACCGCCGAGCACGTGGTAAATCAGCACAATTGCAATTAACAATTTCATTGATACCGGCGGGGATCGAACTCGGGTCTGCATGTCTGAGAAATTAAAAAATATATATTTCGAAGAAATGTGAAGTTCGTCAACACGCATTGAGGCAGCGTGGCGGACATTTCCTTGCCTTAAAACCCTCTCAGAAATTAGAGGAGGCCTGTGCCCAGCAGTGGGACGTATATAGGCTGTAACTTTACTTTTTTTTACTTTTATAAATATGTTATTTTACCGACGAAAATTTTAAAGAAAAATAAAAAATAAGCAACCGACAACCTCCTAGGTCCCTAGGTGACTTGCGAGATGTCAGTGTAACAAAACAAAACGGCCCAGAAAAACAGACTTTCCAACTGATAGCTAAATCAGCACGCAACAATTTCATTGGTGCCAGTGGGGATCGAACCCGGGTTGCTCCCGTACTGTGATACCTATAACGAGCGCTAACCATGTGAGCTACCACGGCTCTCAACGACATCGTTCCGTTCGTGTACAGCGCTGAAGATAGCAGAGTAAAAAATTACAGATTGTGGTGTTTGAAATTTTAAAAAATGTGTTTTTGTTACTAGTACTTTCATATGCATTTAATAAAAAGCTGTTATTTTAACATTACAAACAGACACTTAAATTTTATTTATTTGTAGATATAGATATATTATTCATATTGGTGTCATTTTAAAGGGAATATCATGTACTATTATAATAATAAAATAATTCTCTCCAGTAAATATTATGCTTTTCTTGTAAAACTCGAAATAACAAATAAATACGATTTCTTAAATTTACGCGAACACTACACATTGAATAAAACTATTATTCACGGGGGGGACCATGGGCGCTGTAAAGCACCCGAAACGTCGGGATAATAATAAAAATAAATTAAAGTAATTAAACGCGATAAAATCCGTAAATAATAGTTTTATTCAAATAAATACGATTTATTTTTATATTCCCATATGCTTTATTTTCATCCTTTATTTTTTATTTGACCAATTTTCTTTTAATAAAATTAAATTCTGAATTGGTTGAGCTTTTTGAGAATATTTTTATTTGAATGTTAGGTAGGTACCTATTTAGTTTTTCAGTAGTAATCGTTTTTGCCTACCTACTACTACCTGCCTAAGTACGTCGGTACTAAAGCGGGCTACATACGACACGATATCGGTGGCGATCTAGGGTGGAGTAGTGGGGATGCCTCCTAGATTGCCTCTAAATCGTGTCGTATGTAGAGCCATCCTAAGTCGTAGCCGATATCGCCTCCTTAATCGGCTGGCAGGAGCAAAAATGCTTCCTAGATCAGCCGATGCTTCCTAGATCGGGGCACCGCCCCCTCCTTACTGCGTGTGTGTAGGCGCATCGGCCCGATTTCTTTTGGCAGTCGCTGCCGGCAACCCTCGCGGAAGGAAGTTAACAAAACAGTGATACTGAATGACCTTTTTTTATGTAACAAAATTTTTACATTTTAATCATATAAACGGAGCAGAAGCCTATGGCACTGATATTTTACAAAAAACCAAAAAAAAAGTGAATAAAATAAATAAATTAAATGAAATTTTATCGAAATTCAAATCATATCCACCCTAGCCTGTGACCCTGCGAAGTGACATGGTCAAGAATGCCTACTAAACTAATTTTTTATTGCCGTTCGTAAAGTAGAGTGTATGATGTAAGTAAGGAGAAGATAAAGCCTCTCCTCAACAACTAACTCCTATTCCAACACTATCAACACAAGACCGCACTCATATCTCTTACAACTCCACAAGACCACAATTCGATCTCTTACGTGCCTTCATCCTCTTATAAACAACTAACTTCTACTCCTTCACCATCTCCACATCAACAAACAAGTTATATAAAAGGGAGTATGTCCGAAATTAAAGGTTTCTTTATGTTTAAAAAAAGATATAAGCTATTTTATTTTCTGATAGTTTTACTCCATAAATAAAGATTACATTAAAAAAAGTATACATATTATTATACAAAAGTATTTTATTTCCTTGTTTGTTGTGTGTAATACATAACCAGATTTTGACCAAAGCAGAAATGAACAAAGAGAAGAAATAACTAAATAGCATAGGTACATAGGAGAAATTGATGTTTTTACATAAGTGGAGAAATCATTTCTAGAAGGTTATAAAAACTGTCTTCATCCATCCGGAGAAAATTAATCATGTCTTTGGAATACAGATCATTTAGTACGTTTATGTGGCTTAATTTTTGTCTCTTTTGGAGCCATTTTTTCACCCAGCAACTCCTCTTTTTCTATTTTCGAATAAATTTACCGAGAGGGCTAATGCCAAACCAATACATTGGTGTTTTAAGAGAGTTGAAGCTATTTTGAAGAACTCTACCGCATATGTGTTCCGCTCCAAGTCCGAACGCGTACTGCTAGGCAGGCCCGTGTGTAGGGTCTGCCCCGATAAAAGCCCCGATTTCTTTCCACCCTAGATCGCCACCGATATCGTCTCGTGTGTAGCCCGTTTTAGCAAGCGTCGAGCGGCGCAGAATAGGGTGGTATGTATGTGTGCATCGTGTTCGTGTAACTTCGTTTTTGTTCTAACGGTTCGGAACGCCGTACGAACAAGACGTGCGTTCTAACTGCTCTTCACTGGTACTATCTCTGTCGGGCACGATGCCAGGTGAGACAACGTGCTTTTTGGCCGCGCCCACCAATGAGTTCGAGCCCGCGACTTGAGCCACCTTAAGTGTCCCAATATGCGTTAAGGTACATTTTTCTTATGTACGGACAAAAAATACTAGAATTATTTTATTGTGAAATAAACACAAACTATGATATAAAGTACAAATTATTTATTGTAGAAATTATTTATAAAACAAAAATAAAACTTAGTGGTACTCTACAAAGCAGTTGCGGTCTGTAGTAAAACATAAATGAACGTTGCATGTAGAGCAAGTGTTATTTGTGCGATTCTCTATACGGCTTTTAGCATACTGTACGCATCTTTTTCTGTCTTACTTTTACCATTACGTGTGAAGGTGTACCGCGCTTCTGTGTATAAGAAATTCGCTTTTTCGTCATAACAACTGACGACAAAGATCTTTGTTTGGCTTGGCTTGGCTTGGCGAAATTCTAGGCTCGTAAGCAGAGTTCCTTCAATACGTTTTGCTTCATGCAGCTTGCAATAAATCACATATGAATTATTCATCGCAATATCTAGTAAGTCAAAAAACAACCTTAGGTAGTATTTTATTTTTACTTTTCGATCCACTTCATAGTATACTTTTTTCTGGTCCATCAGATCGACCCCTCCCATATGTTTATTATATTTTATTATAGCTTCAGGGCAAATTACATTCACCTTTTCAGCACTACCAGAAACACGCTTCTTGACTATCGTCGTAGGTATGGGTGATAAAAAATTTGTTAGCAGAAACACGGCTTTGTTATCCATCCATTTTATGAAAGATATTCCATTGCTGCTGGCTGCAAAAATATCTCCACGATTCATATTTTTATCTGTTGCCATATTTTTCGGTACATTTATCCTGTTTGAGCGCACTGTTCCACACGCTTTTATATTCTTATTCATCAGTGTATACTGAAGATTAGGAGAATTGAAAAAATTATCAAAGTATATTTCACACCCTATGCCCTGTAAGCTTTCAGACAATTGCAAGACAACCGATTCACCCAATCCCGTTTCAGTGCCACCTCTTTTCTTCCCAGTATACAAATCAAACTGATTTAAATAGCCAGTGGAAGAGCATGCCCTACACCACATCTTGAACCCCCATTTTATTGGTTTATTTTTTACGTATTGCCTCATTATGTTATGCCCCTTGAACTTGATCATGTGTTCGTCTATTGACTGGGTTTTGGTGTTAGCCATAGCTCTTTGAAAAGCATGGTTGAAATGATCTATAACAGGTCGTATTTTGAATGCTCTATCATAAGACGGATCGGTTCTATTAGTTCATTAGAATTGTCACTAAAATGCAAGTTCGTATGTATTTCTTCAAAGCGGTTTATAGGCATCACATTAGCAATGTAAGGAATTCCCATGTCAGGATCTGTAGACCAATAGCTCCTGAATGTAGGTAAACAATGATACCCCATCAGAAAGTTCATGCCGAAGAAAGCTTTGGCTTCTTCATCAGTCAAGGTAAAAGATCTTCCATTTTGATGAGCGTAGCGTATGGATTCACGAACAATAATCTCCTCTACTAATTTTTCGAAGCCTGTAGCCGCATTGAAAATTTTTACAGGAGTCAGTTCCGTATCAGAAGTTTGATCAAAAATGTGCATCTCGCCGAAGTTATACCCTCCCATTTCACAAAAATTATGCGGAGAATATGAATTTTTTTCGCCAGTTGAAATAAGGGACATTAGAACTAGGCTGTTGATTTTCAATAATATTCTCTTCTGGAGATGCTGACCCCGGTTCAATTTCCACAGTTGAAATACCCGTGTCTATATCTTGCTCTAAAAAGTTTGATCCTCTTCATCAAGGACTAAACCCTCCTCATCATCGCTGTAGTTGATCCTCTTCATCAAGGACTAAACCCTCCTCATCATCGCTGTAGTCAGCCATCAAGAATTCTATAATTTCGTCTTGCCGCAATGAAAACTCTCTACGTCGATTGGAAGACATGGTCTGTAACCAAATAGAATATACAAAATAAGAATAATAAACAAAACAAAACAGTATAGCAAAAAATATTACCCGCTTGAAGCCAGCCTCCCTTGATGCCCGCGTCCCTTTACATTTTTTACATAGTACGCCTTATTTTTACAAAGAAAACCAAAAATGTGTACCAAAACAGTAATTATACTTACCAGTGAATATAATTCTGAGAAGAAACTGTGGTAAAAAGTAGATATTTAATAAAAAAATATTTTTTAATGTTCACATCCTTCTGACAAATATGTCACTTTTCGCGGCATTAACTTTTTTGACAGATGGTGTCTTTACTTAGTGTTGCCAGCGCGCAAACGCGAAAAGGTGCTATAAAATTTAATAATACAAATTTAAAAAAAGGTTTAACTCGGCCAGTATTACTGTAAATCGTAAAAATTAAGTGGGAACAAATGTGTCCCATATGCGTGAAAGAGTTAATTAATAGATAGCTTCCTAAACATAAACGCAAATATACGTTTCTTTACATATATTAAGAATAATTGCGAGAAAAACGTCTATTTATTAAAGAAAGATTGAACTTAGAAAGTGGGTCAAAAATTTAGATTTTTGGCAAAATTGCCCACTTGCTAGTTTCGTTCCGAAACTAGGCTACTGTCGGCTTTATTAATTGGACATAAAAACTATATTAATAGAATGGGCAAAGCTACATAAAATTTTGGTTAAAAATTTTCTAGGCATACTTATGATCTCCAAAATTGAGTGGGCAGTCATAAAGCCAATCAGAGCATTTTTCATACAAAACGAACTTTGAAATAGGGCTGTCTGTCACTTCTTAATATTAAAACACTGTAATAGAAGAAGTTTTTATTATCGGAATGTGATAATTTTGCAAAAAACTTGTAATTATAGTAATTATTATTATTTGTTGTACTTATGTTATCTACAGACTTGTTACTAGATAAGTTCGAGTGCCACTTAAAGAAAAAAGACAAATATTGCAAATCTTATTTATCAATCTTAATAGGAACACTATAGGTACTTTAAGAGATCACGTCATTCCAATAAATTATATAATATTAGTCGAGTTTCTTTAAAGTTAAATTTGAAACATTTTCAATAAAGATATTAATATTTTAACACTAATATATTCGTATCACAATCTTAGATTTTTAATAGAACACATAGGCATTAAGAGCCGTGGTAGCTCAGAGGGTTAGCGCTCGCTGTAAATTTCACAACACGCGAGCAAACCGGGTTCGATCCCCGCCGGCACCATTGAAATTGTTAATTGCAATTTTAAGTGCTGATTTACCACGTGCTCGGCGGTGAAGGAAAACATCGTGAGGAAACCTGCATGTCTGAGAAATAAGAAAAAAAATATTTCGAAGACATGTGAAGTTCGCCAACACGCATTGGGGCAGCGTGGCGGACTATTCCTTGCCCTAAAACCCTCTCAGAAATGAGAGGAGGCCTGTGCCCAGCAGTGGGACATATATATGCTGTAACTTTACTTTTTTACTTTTTACATAGGCTAATACCTATGTAACGCACTTGGATGATATTATTTTAGTTTTACCTCAGCCAACAATTTCCCGACGAGGTCAAATAATGTTTAATATTGACCTAAGTCATTACAACATACAATAACAAGACGGAATTTCAACCATAATAAACACTAAAACAGTTTTTCAGTTTAATTCATTGAATTCGTTGAATTCAATGAATTAAATGAATTCATAATCTGTTCTGATATCTAATTTGTTAAGTTTCTTCTTTCTTATTGTCTTTTTCGGCACTACTTTTTCCTTTTGAATTAAAGATATATGTGATTCATTTTCTTGGTCCGGAACTATATCATTTTTTGGAGTTTATTGCAGTGGGCACATTTTTTTGTAGATTTTATGTTGTTGTATTTGTTTTGGCCAAAATGTCGTCTGAACATACTGATTTTCCTGGTTCATGTCGCAATTTTTTACTTCTACTAGTAAGTATTAGTTTTGGTGCTCGTGTTTCTTTCAAGTAGTCTAACAAGGCCGTCTCTACTCCATATTCTACATCGTCAAAATACTCAGGTATTCTTTTCAAAACATTACGTGCATTCACGGGGTAGATGCTTGCTGCTTTAAAACCGCTTTTTTATGTTGTTATTAGCAATATCTTTCTCCATTCTTTTTTCAGTGGGGCAAAGTAGGCCACATCGAGCGGTTGGGTGAGATGTGTTGAGTTGGGTAATAAGAAGACAAGTCTATATCATGCTTTTCACACATCTGCACCACTTCGATATTTAAATGACTGGACAAATTGTCGCCAATGACAACTTTTGGACCTGGCCCCACCTTTTTTACCCACTCAATGACTATAGTTCGGAAATAATCCTCAAAGCAGGCAGAGTCAAACCATCCGGATTTGGTACAATTGTACCTAGTTTGATCCGGACCTCCCTCCACCCACTCAGAGTACAGATTTGTGGCTTTGTAAACAACATATGTCGGCAGACAGTATCCAGATGCACATGCAGTAAACATGATAGAAATAGAAATTTTTGTAGCATTTAGGATCCTTTCCTATTACTTATTACTTAGGATATTTGACTCCCCTCCTAAAGATACATTTAGAAGCGCCCGGATTGTTTGCTAGATTTGTCTCATCATAGTTTAGTATATGATTTGGTGGTACATCTTTGAGCGTTTCGTTCAGATTTTGAAAGCCCTTTTTCAGTTCGGACTCGTTTAATATTTTGCGTTGTTCTTACTGTCAATTTTGAGGAATGTCTTTGCAAAAAATGTTTAACCCACGCATCAACTGGCATTTTACTGTCAAAATATCAGTACGGGAATTTTTTGCAAATACTTAAATACAAGCATTTTCAAATCCAACTTTGTCATTGGGGTTCCATAATCAGCAGCAGCAATCTGTACTTTCACCAGTTTTTCCTCTTCTTCGTCTGTTAATTTCTTTTGTCCCCCAGCTGGTTTCATATGCAATTTTTTCGATTTATTTAATATCGTTCGACGTGGGATTCCGAATTGCTTTTCAGCCTGTCTACTAGAAATATTTTTTTTTCTATCATTTCGACAGCTACCTCCAACATCTCGACGGAATAGTCTTTATAACTTCTAGTTCCTAGTCTTCTTCTATTTCTTTTTTTCTTCGTAGCACTGCGGGGTCGACTTTTGTCATTCATACTAAATAAAACGTTTTAGCTGTATTAAAATATACACAGAACCCCCAGGTTATAATTAGGCAAATAGGCAAAACCGTGGACTAAACATACAAACGGTCGGACCGTTTATGTGGTTAATCCACAGTTTTGTTATTCCCGTTATAGCGCAACGTCTCTGAATAGCAAAGTTAGTGTTTAAGTTAGACCTTCAGCAATACAACAAAAAAACTGCATTCAATTTGGTGCAGTTTGTGGTGTTTGCGTGGTGCGCAAACAAACATACAGATATTGACAAACAGACAGAAAGACAAAATTCAATAAACGGTATTTTTGGCTTCTATAGCATTTATAGAGACCCCTAAATTTATTTTTTCTTTCAATTTTATTTTTTCTTTCTGTATATCGCCCATATACAGACATCGACCTGTTACAATTTTATTACCTATATTTATATATTTTAGTGACATGATAAGTCGACAACCCTAATGGTAATATATTGGTGGGCAAAGTTGCCAAGAGTGTTTCAGATATACTAAGGTGACATTGCCCACCATCGTAACTGAAATTGAGAGCGTTTGCGCGTTATATTATAGACCGATAGTGTTTATTGTTTACACACTAATGACGGATAAAACATTACTTACTTGCTGCAACTGCAACTGTGGTTTTTCAACAAAATTTTTTACTTCAAAATTTGCCCGCAAAACACACCAACCACTTCGATGCTGTCTGACAAGCAACGTACGATATATTACTTTCCTCTATGCAAGCAACTGACGTGAAGTAGAAAAGAGTTCGTTACTCAGTGTTGTCAGTAGTATAATCATTTTTTTCTACCATTGATTGAAAGTTGCACGATTTTATAACATTTTCGGTATTTTTCGAATATAAGTCAAAGCACCTAACTGGGCAAAGTCAGACCCATTGGGCAAAGCTGCCACAGTCGACGGTACGTACTATTTTATATGAATTGCCATGCCAAGGAAGAATTTTTCTTTTGCAGACATTGAGCTATTATGTACTATGTACTAGAGGCGACACTGCATTCAGCTACTCTGTTCCACTCAACTGCGGTGCATACACCGCACTTTAATCAGTCACTCGCTAGCAACTCGCCTAAGGGTATTAGTGTTCTGTGTTTGCTAGGCGCTTGTAGAGCTGTGACGTGTTGTGTTGTTTTAAAAAAAATTCTTGATAAAAATATACCGCCGTGTGTACTTAGATATTGCATAAATAATTCAAGAAATGTCAGTAAAAACCAAGGTATTACTTTTCATCGGTTAATAAGATACTTAATCAATAAAAAAGTATTATAAATTATTGTATTATATTTTGCGTGTGGGCAGGAATAATGTGATTAGTCGAGCCATGAGATCTCCCCGAAGAAGCTCAACAGTCCCTTGATGTTGCATGCAACTTCGGGGAGTGATCCCGTCGTGCCGAGATGTTTAGCCCTGTACGTAGCGACCTCCGGACATTTCAGTAGCACGTGGGCCGCCGTTTCTTCCTCCCCCATACATGCCCTGCACAGGGTACTATCTGTAACACCTATAGTAAATAAATGTTTGTTAAAGGTGCCATGTCCTGTGATAGCACTAGTTACTATCCTGATCTGCGGCTTGTTCAGTCTCATTAGAACTTTGGTTAAGCGACTGTTTATTACAGGTAGGGCCTCCCTAGCTTGTCTACAGTCTATTAGATTTTTCCAAAGCTGAGCGTGTTGATTAGTGAAGTGTCTACGTACCATTGAACGAACGTTACCAAAGGGGATTGGTATGATTGGTTCCGGCCCTATAGTGGCCAGAGCCGATCCTCTTCTGGCCAGTTCGTCCGCTGCATCGTTGCCTCTGGATCCACTGTGTCCCTTTATCCATTGTAGAGTCACATTGTTGTTTTTACATACCTCATTTAATCGTTGATGGCATTCATATATTAGTCCCGAGTTCACCCCATTGCAACTCAGAGCTTGTAGTACCGCCCTACTGTCGGTCAGTATTCTGATGGGGAAGTCATTAACCTTCCTAGCATCTATTGCTATGGCCGCTTGAATGATACCCATACATCCCGCCTGAAAGACCGTGTTATAGGTACCCAGCGGTGTGCATATGTGAATATTGAGGTCTTCAGAGAAAGCTCCAGAACCTACACCTTCCTTTGTTTTAGAACCATCGGTGAAAATTCTAAGCTCTTTTGGGCTTAATCCTTCCGGCTGGCTGTTTTCATTTAATTGTATCTTGTATTTCTTATCGAAAACAAATTGTTTAGGAATCCTATCGTATTTGGCTTGTAGGATAGGAATTTCTGAGTAAATTCTATCAATTATGCCTGTATGAGGGACACTATTCTTACTCCAAAGATTTAGGGTCTTGAGTCTGATGGCAGCTAAAGTCGCTTCTTGTTGTATATGTAGATGAAGCGGAGTTAGCTCCAGCATCGCTTCCAAGGCTGCTGTTGGCGTAGTTCTTATGCAGCCTGTGGCAGCCATACATGCCAGTCTCTGGTAGCGCTGAAGCTTCTTAATTGTGGTGGCTTCATTGGTCTTGGTCCACCATACCAGAGCGCCGTATGTGATCATGGGCCGGATTACAGTTTTGTAAAGCCACAGTATGATTTTTGGCGTCAGTCCCCATCTTTTGCCAATCATGTTTCTGCATTGCCAGAAAGTTATACTAGCTTTGTTGATTTTGTTTTCTATGTTTTTATTCCAGTTAAGTTTGCTGTCCAAGGTAAGACCTAAATATTTTACCTCAGAGGATAGCTGGAGTTTTGTGCTGAAAAGACTTGGAAGATGATAGTTATTCAGCATTCGTTTTTGTGTGAACATTACTAAAACCGTTTTATTTGGGTTGACGGTTAAGTCGTATTCCCTGCACCATCTCTCCACTATACGGAGAGCCGCTTGGGTCAGGTCGCACACTATGCTAGCTGTCTTTCACGAGACCAGTATAGTCAGGTCATCAGCATAACCTACTATATAAAAGTGATTAGTATTTAATTTGCTGATGAGTTCATTAATGACCATATTCCACAGGAGAGGTGAGAGGACCCCACCCTGCGGGCAACCTTTCTTAATTAGGATTGGTTGAGATTCACCAGCAATCTTTATTATTCGTATACTGAGCATGCAAACTATCCAGTCGATCAGTGCCGATTCAACTTTATGTCTACTGAGTGCACCTTTTATGCTGGAGAAGTTTGTTCTGTCAAAAGCACCTTCTATATCTATGAAGGAACCTAGACATATTTCTTTGTTTTGGATGGCCCCTTCAATCTTAGTAATTACCTGATGAAGTGCCGATTCTGTTGATTTGCCTAGACTGTAGGCGTGTTGCTTGTCGTGTAGTGGTAAGTTCATTAGCGCCGACCCCCTTAATTCCCTTTCACACATCCTCTCCATCGTCTTTAGTAGAAAGGATGTGAGGCTAATGGGCCTGTAGGATTTAGGGTCAGTGTAATCGCTCTTACCTGGTTTGGGTATAAATGTGATTTTCACTTCCCTCCATCCCCTAGGAACATATTTTAGAGCCAGACAGGCTCTCATTATGGCAACAAGTCTGACTATTAGGGCTTTACCCCCCCACTGTAGAAGTGCCGGGAATATGCCGTCAGGTCCTGCCGCCTTATAGGGGAGGAAACTGTGAATGGCCCAATGGATTTTGGCCATCGTTACCACTCTCTGTGATAAATTCCAGTCTTCTACTGTTGGTGTCAGTACGTCGTCATGCCGGTTTACCTCCTGGGTTAAGCAGCAACCTGGGAAGTGCGTTTTAATTAGGATGCGTTGGGCTTCATCCGGCGATGTTGAGTAGCTACCGTCGGGTTTCTTTAGAGACATGGATCCCGACGTGTTCTGTTTAGCTAGAATATTCCTTATCCTATTTGCTTGTTTGCAGGTTTCTATGTTGCCACAGAATTTACGCCACCCAGTCGAGCGTCGATACCTGATACATTTTTTGTATTCAGACTTAGCTTTCTTATATAGTAGCCAGTCTTCATCCATTGAGGTATTCATGGCCCTGTTTAGGGCTTTTCTTACCTTCTTGCGTTTCCTATCGAGTTCTACACCCCACCACTGTTGCTTTACCTCGGCATGCCTTGGTGGAGTGATTTCTGGACATGATTCATGGTAGCTATCTATCATGGCCTTAGTAACAGCTGCTACCTGTTCTTCTAGGAGCGACTGATCTGCTATAGTATTTATCCCCTCAGAACCCGCGAGCGAAGACGTCAACTTATTTAGGTATTTTGTTTTATCCGTCTTGCGGGGATTTCTCCATGGTGGTGTAGAGGGGACATCGACCTGTAGTGCGAAGCAGATCCATCTATGGTCTGAGCATGAGGCCTCTTTCGACACATGCCATCCCGTAATTAGTTTGGCTGCTCCTTCTGTTGCAAGTGTGAGGTCGATTATAGTGCGACAGCGTTTGTTTATGAAAGTAGGTTCAGAACCTATGTTTAAAATGGTTAGGTTAGTACTAAATAAATATTCAACTAAAACCTTACCTCGTTCATTAGGTTTTTCCATTCCCCAAAGGGGATGATGTGCGTTGGAGTCCGTCCCGATCACAACCTCTAGTCCGGTCCTCTCGCAGAAGTTCACCAGCCTGCCGAGGTCATGAGGGGGGAGGAGTGTCTTCCTCCGGCATGTAGACCGAGGCGACGACTAACCTTCTCTCCTGTGTGTATTGTATTGCCACGGCATACATGTCTCTAGAACAGAAATCTGTTAATGGTTGTGCACAGATATCTTAAGTAGTGTAGATACACGCTCTAGGCTTGTCGTGTTCAGAGCTGTAGAATAGCTTACCTTTTAGG